ACGTTTGTTTGAGAGTGACAAAGAAAAGCTTGATGGTGAGTTTGTCATAAAGGAAATCGAAACTGTGCCACTGTGCCTCCTTTCGTTTTATTGTGAAGGCTTAAAAGAATCGCACAATGAATGGAAATGAAAATGCTATGCAAAGTGCTCCTGCAATCAGTAAGGCGAGTTGTGCTTATTCATTTATTCTTGTTTTACCTTTAAGCTCCAGAGTTCGCTAAGCAAAGGTAATGTTTTCATTTAATAGGGATCCTCGATACTCGAAATTTGCGACCGTAGCAACACATTGAGAGTCATTCTGACGAAGTTTAACTTAGGCTACAAACTCTTAAAGCTAATGGATTCGAGATTTAGATGGAGTTGAAGTAGATTTAATGCATCTCGGCGTTACCAAACAAAGGCAAAACTCGTTTAAATAACAGGCTTTAGAAATTTCTTTAGTGTAAAGGTATTGTCTGACTTTGTCAATTAAATGATGGACATAAGGGAAATTCGCTCCAGTTTCCAGAGGCAGGTTTTGTAAAACTGAAATGATTGTTTGCGATAATTATAAAAAACACTTATAAGGGCCGGTTAATATCATATAAATAAGTTCGGCCGTTGTGTAACAAAACCGTGTTCTAATCTATCTTAATTTAGATGAATCTTTTATCTGAACATTTTATTTTGTTAGCATTGTCGAGAGAGCCGAAAGCTAGTTGTGGATGGACATTGATATAATGAACACAACCCTCTTATCTAGAATAAAAACCTCTAGGCCTCGAGTGAATAACCGGCCCCTATTTCTTATTTCCTTTCAGAGAATTTCATTCCCGAAATTTTTTTTTTCTGAATAATCAGTAAGGGAATTTTTGAGATCATCAACCTTTTTGGCGCCGACAATTTTACATAAAACGCAGTATCAAGTATCATTGAATCTAAATTTACATTATGGCTCATCATTATTACTATCAATATTGCAATTAGACGTATTTGCGTTTTGTCTGTACATTGCATTAATTATCTCTTCTGAGGTCTGATGATCAGCTGCTTGATATTAGTTTGGAAAATAATAGTACGACATTTCGATGAAATCTAAACTATTTTAAACATAATATTACCTCCATTCCTTACTTTTCCAAATTGTTCCCCAATTTTCCCTTTTCACAGACAAAATTTTTTGGTCGTCTTCCTGTCCCTGAGGCCATGAGGAAAATAAGTGGAAGTGATGTTACTTTGAATGCAGAGAATTTGCAATGTAAATTCTACAAATTTGAGGAACACAAATGCTTAATTTTGGACTTAAGCTTATATTTCCGTCAGTAGAGGAGTGTTTGAAATTGTTTTGATAAATTTTGTGAATCAAAATGACCTGAAGAATTACAAAAAAAAAAATCGAGTTTTTCTTGTTCAAACGGGCTGTTGAAAACATTAGAAAATTCTTTGTATTAATTACAATTTCGAACTCTTCCAAAAATATTATTTTTTCGAGGGACTGACAACAAGCACAACCAAACACCTCGAACCGAAACTTTCTTTCACAAGTTGTGCCTTGTAAATTGTTTTTTTTTTTTACGTTGTTTATTAACATCTCGTGGATGAAATTAATCCGGTACATTAGCCCCTTGTTGATTTGCTTGCTCTCTGCTTCTGCAACTCAGGAAAAGCGGCGTTAACCTGCGCTAAAATAAAGTTAGTTTTTATGGCTTTCCGTTTCAGAGGCCTACGTCCCCAATTTTGATATTACAGATACCGCAATAATTCCTTATGCTGCTCTATCACGTAGTGCGCGTTGAACATGCACAAGCTAAGTTCTACAATTAAAATGTTGTTTTAACATATACCTAGAAAGGGAAGCTTAGTGGGAGCTTAAAATAGGCATTTTTCGAATTTTGTTTCATTACTCGAACAGCCTAACGAATATAAGACCGAAACGTAGCGCTGAAAACGCACTCATACAGATGCACAGAATTGAATGAAATGACTGAATATCTAGTGTCCGACAGAAACTTTTGGCCGTTTTCTTTTTTCTGTTGCGTGTAAGTAAGTAAGAAACCTAGCCCTAGAACCCACTAGCAGTTCTTCTGACTAATGGAAGTAATAGGCAGATAAACAAGCCTTGGGCGGTCTCAATGAGGTAATGGCTTTACGGCCAACGGTTAAAATGTTTGCCATTTTACGGCTAACGGCTAACTTCTTTCGTTCAATGTTGAAAGAAATAAAATTTACGGTTAACTTTTTTACGAATAAGGAGTAAAATCTGTCGTTTTTTCCATTGACACCCGCATCTCCTTCTTATAGCTTAAAACGAAAACCGCTCTGTCACGTGTAGGCTCGCATATGCATAAGACTCGCATATGAACTAAAAAATACTCGGAGAAACTGTTACAGTTCTAAGATATTCAATACAACACAACACGACCTCTTACGAAACGAAATTTAAGCTCGAGGAGTCCTACAATTAGACAAGACATTAACAAAAGTAGGAACTACTGTTTAACTAGAGCCAAAACTTCCGGTTAACCACGCTGTTTAGTGTCAACCACGAAGGATTCCTTGAAGCCGAAGTTAACGAAAATGTGGAATAAGGAAATATTTCACTTGATTTTTTCCCTTTGCTATAAATTCGTGTGTGTAAACTGACTAACCATTGCGATGGAAAACAATAATTCTTGCTACTTTTTTATTAACACTGCGACAGGACTTTCTCTGAAACTTCAAAGAGCTTTCAGGATACAAATTGTCTGAATAAAAGCAAAATTCTTAAACTATTAATTACCATGATATATACCATGATTGAAATCCATCACCATAAGACGGACCGAAAAGCACACTTAAGACGGCGCACTGCACCTTTAAAATATGAATCCGAGGCTGATTTGAAGAAACCTGCCACGCACACATATTAATTGACCTTGCTAATGCGAAGAACTTTATTTTTTCAAATGATAAAAATTATAATAACCAAAACGCAAGAACAGTATGACAAAAGTAAGAAACGATGTCATTCCAAGCTACCGAGAACATTCCCTCTATACTCCAATAAAAATACCCATTCCTTCAGTGCAGTCGTTAGTGCCGTTTGATTAACCTGTCTCATCAACCGATGTTTTCTTCATAAATTAGAAGTCACCGAGGAGTAAATTAAAATCGGTCATCTATTTATGAGGTTCTTTTGCGGACAAAATATCGAACATGGATACATTAATGTTTTGTTCAATTACGTTATTGTTATGCGTTATAATACAAGTCTTAAAATAAAATAAATCAATTTCATCCGGAATACATCGATTTTGGATGTCATACATCCATGTTGTGCGGCAAACATCGCTTTCCTGACTCATTCACGCGTGACCTTATATAACTAAAAGATGTTCAATAAAACTAAAAGATGAGGAAGCGGAAATAGAAATGACCGGAAGTCAGATTAAACAAGAAGCCCCGGAAACTAACCCTTTCAAAATGGCGGAAATAGGGGCGGATGATCAGTGATGTTTGAGAAGCACTATGCAAGGTGTACGGATTTGGCTGCCCAACATCGAAGGATTTTTTACGCCTTTGGGTAGGCTACTGGAAAGTGGAGAAGGGCAAAGAAAACACTGCGTCCTACGACTCGGCTGAATTTTTTAGTCGTCGTTTTCGAGAAAACGAAAGGGCTCTTGTCACTTTGACTCTAAGAATAGAAGAAGCCTTCCCGAATGAAGTTGTGGTGATCTCTGATCTAAACGAACTTGTTTTTTTATGAACGAACTTTCAAGGGACTTTGACAGAATTTTCGAGGACTCGGAACGTTCCACGTTTACTGCACCATCGTCCCTAAACGATCGTCTTTCAACTGTGGCATTAGGAACGGTTTAGTTGGCAGACCAAGGCTACAAATCTTACAGTAAGAGCTGCAAACTCTGCACAATGACCCCGGTTTTCGTTGGGCTGATATCAGAAGAATTATTGAATGAGAGTATTGCTTATGGCAAAATTGGTTATGGCAAGATATAGACATGAAAGAATGATCCTTCCTTATCTTACTTTCAGTTAACAGTTTTGTTATTCTTGGGTCCACAAACCATTTTTATTCATAATTTTTCATAGGACATAAAAAACACATACAAATCATAATCAGTAAGAGATTGAATAAGGGAGGGCGTAACGAGGTTTTTAGGAAAGAAATCTTTGTAATTGGTACAATTATCCATGACTTTACATATGTTTATGGTAATGTTTTGCTCCTTTATTGCTAGAAATTTCTACTGCTCAAATTAATACAAAATCTCTGTTAATTTCCTAAGCAGTGGCCAAGGGAAATATGCCAGTGGACCCTTCACATAAAATAATAAAATTTTTAAATCCGTTTAGGTTACTTAGGAAATGTTCCGCGTTCAAAGTTCCAGTTTGAAGTTACTCAGCATATTAGCTGTTTCGTTAACAGCACGATAAACTCAACACCAACAAAAAGAGCTTACAAGAGCTCATTTACAAGGGTATAAACTTCTCTGCAATAACCATCATGCATGCAACATTGTTTTGCAATATTGTTTTGAGTGACTGCAAATCAAGGCTAGATCTCAGGTTTAAAGTGTTTATACTATGAAACATCTAGTACATTATGCCACCATAACATCATGTATTTTTTTCCCAGTAATACAAAGTTTTACACCCCTTTGTATTAGTAAGGCTGTTAGATTTGAGATTATAACTGATTATTGTTACTGTTTCCCATTTACATTATCATTAGTAATTTTATTCTTGGCATACTGACATGTATAGCAGTAACTAATTTATACTAACTGTATTAAGAGTTCATTCCAAGTACATGAAGTTAATACAGTAAATCATGAACAGCAGTTTAAATAAAAAGAAGCAATCTGCAATACCACTTGGTAAGCTATGATTCCATCATGATCACCAGTTTGGAAGACTGCATCTTTAGCTTCTTGCAGTGACAATTCTTGGTTATGTGTCAGAGTAGTAATTGTGTCAGCTACCAAAACTGCATAGTCACTCTGCATGTCAGGTACAGGCCCTTATTCACCAATCCCATAATGATTGAATAAATTAACAGCCTTGCTGGCAGTCACATCTGTCACAGCCTTATACCCAGAATTTCTGAAATGTAGCATTCCTTGTATCCAGAGCTGATTGGGAGAGAAATTGCATTGTGTGCTTACAGGAGGATTATTCCACTGACCGATAAATTGGTTAATTGCATTATTAATCAGTGTAATGTAAACTAGATGAATACAAAACAGATGCACCTCATCTGTTGGATCTAAAATTCCACTGTGCTTAAGAAAGAGGAAAATGTTAAAAAAGTGGCTCACAATAACCCAGTTGACATCATACCAGAGATGCTCTATTCTCTGGTTATGAACAGATTTTCCAGTGATGTGGCTGCCTCTATTCAAACCTCTTTCTTGCAGCATGAAGCGAGCAACTTCTATGTTTTCCATTCCAAGATCACTGCGAACTCTTGATGGTAAATTGTAGTGCTCAACAGCTGACAGGAAATACTGCAGTACAGTTAAAGCCATGTTGTTGGTTGATACCTGAAGGAATACTATCATTCTTGAAAAACCATCTAAACCACCATGAATGACAATTTTATATGGCTGGATTAGTTTGTGGTTGCCATCAATGTGCCTGTTGGACACCATGAAGACATTTGTTCCACTACAATATCACATATAAGTTAGGTTAAATATGGTATGTAAAAAAGTTAAATCTGCCTATCTGAGTAATAGTGTGGAGGGAACTCCCATATAAAAAGGAAAGGAGTGCTTGTCGCAAATTTTGAAAAGAACCCTTAAAAGGTATCAAGATCCTGTTTTATGGGCATAGCTTAATATGCTTTTCACCTCTAAGAGGAAACAATTCTGAAACAATACAGTTAACCCTAGCTGTCATTTTTTTCTGTTCAAGACCCTACCTAAGAGATAGCACAAAAGCTCCCGCTGTGGACCTTTTGGAACTGACCACCATAAGAGGTACCAAACCTGCATTTTCATACCCTAAAAAGTATAACAAGCATCCCTGTCCTTTTTATACAGGAGTCCCCCCAGGGGGGTGTTGCCCTTAGAGAAATAACAAACTATTTTGAAAAGAGGGGTGGTGGGCTCTAATGGTGTAGGGGGCCTGTTAAAAATGGAGACCCCTCTGAACAGAGACTCGTTAGAAAGAAGGTAGTGTTAACTAAATAGCGCTTCAAAGAATTCGTTTATTTTACCATAACGCATTGGGGCATGGCACACTGTTCACCCTACGAATTATCTGCTGCGCTGCTCTTAAAGTGCGAAGAACCGGATCCACTCTTCGAATAGATTCCTGAATATGATGGCACTGGATTCGGAAGCCCCTTTTCCTTAAGCCCCCTTCAACCAGGCGTTGACCAGCGCTTGGTGTCACTTCAAGAATTTCCCTCACATATTCGTCAAGGTCATCGTTGGAGACATCACTGAAATTCTCTCCCACACCAACTGGCAACCCAGATTCATGTCTTCGACGGCGCAAAGTTCTCCCGGAGATTCCAATAATTCTTCCGATATCAGCCCAACGAAAACCGGCGTCATTGTCAGAGTTTGCAGCTCTTGCTGTAAGATCTGTAGCCTTGGTCTGCCAACTAAACCATTCCTTGCCACAGTTGAAAGACAATCGTTTAGGGACGATGGTGCAGTAAACGTAGAACGTTCCGAGTCCTCTAAAATTCTGTCAAAGTCCCTTGAAAGTTCGCTCATAGGAAAAACAAGTTCGTTTAGATCAGAGATCAACCCAACTTCGTTTGGGAAGGCTTCTTCTATTCCTAGCGTCAAAATGACAAGAGTTCTTTCGTTTTCCCGTAAACGACTCAAAAATTCAGCCGAGTCGTAGGAAGCAGTGTTCCTTTGCCCTTCTGTACTTTCCAGTAGCCTACCCAAAGACGTAAAAAATTCTTCGAAGTTGGGCAGCCAAATCTGTACACCTTGCGTAGTGCTTCTCAAACATCACTGATAATCTGCCTTTATTTCCGCCATTTTGAAAGGGTTAGTTTCCGGGGCTTCTCGTTTAATCTGACTTCCGGTCATTTCTATTTCCGCTTCCTCATCTTTTAGTTTTATTGAACATCTTTTAGTTATATAAGGTCACGCGTGAATGAGCCAGGAAAGCGATGTATGCTGCACAACATGGATGTATGACATCCAAAATCGATGTATTCCGGATGAAATTGATTTATTTTATTTTAAGACTTGTATTATAACGCATAACAATAACGTAATTGAACAAAACATTAATGTATCCATGTTCGATATTTTGTCCGTTAAAGAACCTCATATCTATTGGAAAAAAAAAATCGATTAGGAAAAGTCTGCCATTCTTATTTAATGTCATAACAAGAAGATATGATCATCTATCGAATGCCAATCTTTCCTACCATAATATCGGTTTCAATCCTAGCATTCCCTGAAAATAAACATTGCTTTTCACGCTTTCGATCTCGACATGAGTTTAGCGGGAAAGGGAGCCTGCCAGAACTACAAAATATTGATAATTTAATTTTAATTAATCTGTCAAACATATAATGGGGCAGCATTGTCATTAACCTTCAATGTTATGTCAGGGTAACGTTTGTTTGAGACTGACAAAGAAAAGCTTAACGGTGAGTTTGTCATAAAAGTAATCGTGAGTGTGCCACTGTGCTTCCTTTGTTTTTTATGAAGGCTTAAAAAGAGTCGCACAATGAACGGAAATGAAAACGCTGTGCAAAGTGCTCCTGCAATCAGTAAGGCGAGTTGTGCTGCAGTTGCGTCGCTATATTCTTGTTTTATGTTTAAGCTCCAGAGTTCTCAGGTTAATTAAGGCCTGGGTCACCTTGCCTTTAACCCATATTTTTCACAAAATTGAGAATAACTTTTTCTCATACTTGGCAGAAATGTGTATCACCACCATCTCTCTCGGACTGAACTATGGCAGCGTAATATGATACTCTCAACAGCCAAAAACAGTTAATTTAGGCGCCAAATTCGTCGGTTGCTTTCTAGAGCAAATTCCCACCACTAAAAGCAAGGCAAATCAAAATGCAGTTATCGCTATGAATATTTGAGACGTTTTTCATCGTTTTCCCACTTGGAATAGCTGCCAAAAAAAGTCAATCAAATTAAATCAAGTTTTGTCTCTGCGAAGCTGCTACCTCTATCATGGTTTTCGCCCGAAAACATCTTAGCCTTTACCTGGTTCCAACCGCTGTCAATGAAAGTAATCCTACAGGTTCCTATTTATTTGGAAAAAGACAAATTAAAACTGTTTAAGAGGTGGGAATTTTGAAAACTCGCAGTCACGTATTCAACTTAGTGTCCGCCGTACGCTATGAGCTTTAGAAATGAGCGCTATATTATAAATTCATGTTTCGACATGTTGCATTGTATTTGCAGTGAAGTCAATGAACATGTTGAGAGCGGTGTTTAAGTCTTCGTAGGTTCAAAAGGGTTCTCTTTGGCTTTAAGATAGCGATATCATGCCATTTTTTGAGGAAATGAAGATAGCAAAGAAAATGTTATTACCTTCTTTTGATGTTTTCCTCTAAATTGTCGGATTCACCAGCGAAGATGGGAAAAGCTAATGCAAAGCCGACACTTCAAAATGGCGGATGCCGTTCACGAACGAACTACGCGATCTTGATTCCAAGTAACTATGGTTACTGGCGCAATCCACGCGAATTCCGCGAACCTTGCTGAGGGGGCACTGGAGGCGAAAATCATTTTTGACTCAGGCCTTAATTAACCTGAGTTCGCCAAGCATAGGTAATGTTTTCATGTAATAGGGATCCTCGATACTCGAAATTTACGATCGTAGCAACACATTGAGGAAAGGGAATTTATGAGATCGTCAATCCTTTTGGTGCGTAAAATGTTACCTAAAACATAGTATCAAGCATTATTGAATCTAAATTCACATTATGAATAATCATTATTATTATTCATATTGCAATTAGACGTACTTGCTTTTTGTCTGTACATTGCAATAATTATCTCTTCTGAAGTGTTTTTTTTTAAATGATTGTACGACGTTTCGATGAAATCACAAGAAAACTATTTTAAAAAATATATTACCTCCATTCCCTATTTTCCAAATTGTTCCCCAATTTTCACTTTTTAAAGAAACAAAATTTTTTGGTTGTCCTCCTGTTCCTGAGGAAAATATGAGGAAAATAAGTGGAAGTGATGTTAATTTGAATGGAGAGCACCTGCAATGTAAATTCTACAAATTTGAGGAACGCAAAAAGCTCAATTTTGGACTTAAGCTTACATTTCCGCTTGTAGAGGAGATATTTCATATTTGTTTGACCCAAGTTTGTGACTCAAAATGACCAGAAGAATTATCGAAAAAGTAAAAATTAGGTTTTACTTGTTCAATCGGGCCGTTTAAAACTTTGAAACTTTTGCTGTATTAACTACCATTTCAAACACTTCCTAATATATTATTTTTCTAGGGACAGACAAAAAGCACAATAAACAACTCAAACTGAAACTTTATTTTAAAAGTTGTGCCATGTGAAGTGTGTTAATTTTACGTTGTTTGTTTAATATCGCGTTCGTGCGTACATGTATGTGTGTGCTAACTTCCCGCAGTAACAAGATCAACGGAAATGTGTAAACTAAAACGCCATCGCTAGCTTGTTTAATGCCAGTGTCTCCGAAAGAAGTTTCATATGTCATATTTGAACGATAAATTAGGAATATATCCCATTTCAGTAAGTCAGGTTTTACAGACAAAAACACCACGTCTGTATCTAACAACACACATCTCATAACTACACCACCCTTGCTGTGAGGCTAATTGAACCACCAATTGGATATCATCGGTTGAAATTTTCCTATTTTTAACACAGCAAATAGGACTAACTACTGTTCTTGGTAAGGTTCTTTGAATATTTAGAGCGGAATAAGTTCATGCCTTCTGTTCGTGCTCAGACTTAAAAAAATTAAGTCGTAGGTGGTCCTTTTTTTGGAGTATAAAAACATAAAAAAAGAAAGTATTGAATTCCCGTTTAGCCACCAGGTGATTTGTGGATATGAAAAATACATTTGAAAGATGAATGTCCTTGACTGAAATGGTTATTTTATGGACTGATCAATTTTTAGCTCAGTTGCATCCATAAGGAAGCTGGGCTAATTCTCAAAACATCGGTCTTAAGCACCAAGCCTGTTCCACGGACTTTCTTCCTAATTCCTTGAGGTAAATAGTAATTATGTAATAGTAAAAGGTAATGTCTCATACCTCAGATCACACTAAAACAACTCTTGTATCAGAGTTTTTAAAGTGTCTATTTTCCTTCCTTTCTCAAAATTTAGTTCTGAGAAGTCCCAAGTCAATACGCCAAAAAATACTCTTGTGTGGCATTCAATTTTTGTCAGTTTATGATAAGTTAGAAGGTAGAAACCTTAGCCCAAGCATGAAGCTGCACTTGAGCATCACCGGCAACTTAATCCTTAGATTCATTGCTAATCACGAGGATTATTTATCATGAGAACCCAAACTTGCCTACTTCTCTAAACTCAGTGGACATTGACATCTCCAGTCGCGGTGCTTTAATGAGAGTTACATAAATTCCAATAAAATCCATATTTTTAGGTATTTTTTCCGTGGGGGGTCTGGTTGCAATCGATTCCTTCTCTCCATCCCTGTTCGCCGTTTTCGCTGAGGCTTTAGCGATTTTATGGTTTCCTGATGTTGGGCCTTCTTTTACTGATCATGAAAAAATATGTATATATTTCTATTTAATTAAATTTAAGGGATCACGAAAGTTTCATTTGCTCACAATTCATATACAATTTCCTCATTTCATTAAAGCTTGACAACAGACCGAACAGATATTGAACATGACATTAAAAGAGTACGAAGTGATCATCCTCACAGTTTTGTACACCATCACAATGCTCGCAGCATTTGCAGGAAATGGTTTCCTCATCTACATCGTGTGGAAGAAACCTGAAGTAAGATCACTAACAAGCTTCATGTTCGTCAACATGGCCATCGCCGATTTGCTGGTGGCAATAATTGTAATGCCCTGGTCGATTGCCCACATCTATACATACGGATTGTGGATGATACCAGGTGTATTTGGAGAAGTCATGTGCAAATTTGTAGTATACACTGCCTATGCTACATTAACAGCGTCCATCCTCTGCCTGACATTCATGGCCATCGATAGGTACTATGCCATTGTTCATCCCCTCCGTCGCTATCTTTGGTTCCGAAAGCCTAAACTGACTGTACCATTTATTTGGATCTTTTCGCTGGCTTCGATGTCCATTTTTCCAGCTATTCAAACCGTGGAGGGAACTAATAAACGTCCCCTGTGCTCGATATCCGTTTATATTTTGGGCGATCCACAGAAGGCTATGCGAGGCATATTCCTTTACTTAGTGGTGCTCAACTATCTGATCCCTTTAAGTGTAATTGCGTTTCTCTATGCTATTACCGCATGGAGGTTATGGTTCCATGTTGCACCTGGAAATCACCATATGACGGGAAATCGAGAGCAACAAGAAACGACCAAGAAGAGAGTGGTTCGAATGCTCATTATTGTCACCTGTGCCTTTTCTCTTTGCTGGCTCCCAGCACACGTGGTCCACATGATTTATGTCATGCATAGCTGGAATATTGATGTTCAGCTTCAGAAGATTGTCGAAAGCGGGTGTTTCTGGTTGGGCCAGACCAACAGCGCCATCAACCCATGGCTGTACATTTTTCTTAGCAGCAAGATCAGTACGGTATTTATAAAAATGGTGAGTAGAAAAAGCACCCAGTCACCTTCGAGTGTCAGCATCAAAAGATCAAATGCCCTTCTACAATCCGAAGAAGAAGCTTTCCGGGAAGAAACAAGACTGTAATCTCAATCATTTATTTATTACTCATTGGACTGTCCTAAGATAAAGGAAATATTGAGAAGGATATATAAGTTTTAAACTTGTAGGATCAATAGAAGTAAATAAAAAATCGAAGAGCTTGTTGTAGTAGAAGCAGGAGCTACACGTAGCAGGATGTCAGAAGGTGAATAATATAATTGAGATTGTTAAATGAGACTATTCAAACAGTATTAATTAGAAGTGAGCAAGCTGGCTGCTCCGAACTATGTAACCTCGGCCTCTTTGCATGCACTTATAAGAGCACAGTAGAAAACCATGAATGTTTAGGGCAGAGTTGCATGTGAGAAATAAATAACGTGCATCGAGCAAGTTTTTGCATAGTACCCGTTGAAACCGAATTTAACTCTTTTCTTGGTCACCATAGATAGTGATTGGTTAATAGCGTTGATGGGGATCATAAGAAAGAGACCTAGACAATCGAATTACTTACACGAGTGGTTTTATCAATTTAACACTAACTTGTAAATGTATTAGGACGCAGGCCACAGAAAAATCAACCAATCGCGCTAAGCGATACAAGCCAAGTTACCGGGCGGTAGCATACCTGGCCTCTAAACTTTCACGAAGAGTCGCGGTTAATAGGATTTCCTCTCAAAGCGTTCGTGCGAAAGCAAGATTCACAATCATATACAGTCGATCCACCTGCTATAAAACCTTATAGCTCCGATAAAGAAGCTTATGTAAGTGTGCAAGTGGCACATTTAGACTCAATCAGCTCCAAGAAACAGCGTATCACTTACGTCCACCGACGTCTACTTTCTTGCTGATTCGAAAAACGAATGCTTTTGCTGTTTGTACTATGGAAAAAAGAAAGCAAACACAGCATCTGTCATCTGTTATCAACCACAACAACTGTTCCTGTTATCAATTATTCACGCAGGTTCTGACTTACCCGCCGCTAAAAATACAAAGTGCTATCGGTCGACCATTTATTTTCATTTTAATCGTTTTTATTTATGGACAGAACAAGTATTTCAAAGTCGAAAGAAAAAATAGATGAGAAAAGCTTCTGTTATGTAATTTCTATGCTGGGAGAGGAAATTGTAATCAAAGTTCTGGCGCCCTCTGTATTCCAGGCTTTTATGGAGATAATTGCGTTTTGTTTTTGCAATGCAATATTTCTTGTCATAATAAATTACCCTTTACACAGTCGGTTGATCAGTGGCTGACAGCTGTCCAACTCGATAAAGTAAAATAACAACGTATTAGATTATGTTCTTAGCTTCGTTCCCTTTTTAACTCGTGAATTGCGCGCATGCGCAAGAGCGAGTTGTAGATACGATGTGGGGAATGGCATTCGCTCGCTCGCTCGCTCGCTCGATTGGTCGATTCCTGTAAACGTTTTTTCGATTTTAGGCTTTTGAGTGCATTTGATAGTTTTTGGCGAGCAAAAAACAAACGAAATGGTGACCTTTGTTGCTAAGAATAGTGGAGGGGTGACAAAGAAGCCAATGATAATCTTAAAAGAGTTTTTTTTTTGTTTTAGTTTCAACAAGCGGCGCCAGCGACTGGCAGGCATGCAAGGATTCACACTGAAATAACAGAACAACCTTCGTTTTTCATGAAATTGTAATTTACAATCCTTGAACTTGAAAACAATCCGAAGATTCATTGAAAATATCCTTTACTGCGAAGCGCTCGGAGTTTACAGATGTTCAAAAGCTTTTTCTGAAACGGCGTGAGATTGAGGACAAAATCGATCATTACGCTTCGTATCGTGTGTTTTTCTTGTGTGAAGCAACAGATGATGCCGGCGACTAACGAAATTACATGTTAACACAAAAATCAAATAACACCTAAAAAAACAATTTTAGCTACCGATTTTCAGTGAATTTTTAAAGAACAATTTGAAGATTCAAAATACATATTACGTACTAAAATGCGAAAGTTATACACCACAAAATTGAATAGGCCTGAAATGAAATTCTATCTTGTTATTGATTCAGTACGTTGCCTAGCACGTGACTAAAATCTACCCAGGCGGAGATCCAAAATGACGGTGGCAGTCTTGGCTTAGTTATATCACTCAAAACTCGTTCCCGTTTGTCTCATTTGATAAAGAGGGAATCAAGACAGCATTGCCTTGATTTTCTAATATTTACAATAATAGACAGTAAATTTCACTTTTTACCCACATTTACTTCCAACCTTTTCTTTTGAACCAGAAACAGAAATGATAGACGTTTAAAACACATGAGATCATCCACCCTTGTCAAATGCAATAGCATGATCATTTCATTTGTAATGCCTTCTTATCCCAACGTTACTTTGTTTCTTTGCTACATTAGCGAACACTGAACTACTGCTCGTGCTCTAGATATGACAATCAACCACAAATTCCCTGAACCAGATAACATTAAACATAATCCAAAAAATCATGTGTCAATTCACGAGTTTGCTCACAGAGCACTTTGATTTCCCAACATTGTTCTTTCATGGTTTTCCAATAATGTATTTAGTTTTTCTGCGTGAAACTAAATTTTTGAAGTCGAAGTTCAAGTCAAAGACGTCTTAATAAAAGCTTTATTTATCGCTCATGTTGATTGCTCCAACGACCGAGTTCGAATAGCACTTACTCTAAAATGATGCTCAGATCCTGTTACCGTGTTGTCATCCGCCATTTTATATTGTAATGCGGATAACAACTTTTCTTTCAGTCCCGTTTCCCGTTCTTGGTTTTAGTAACATCCGTACACGAACTTAAGCGCCTGAAATGGTAAAAAAAAAAACAACAACAAGCACAGCCTTCCAACGTTTTTCACTTAATTCAGAATGCATGTGAAAATATTTTATGAAAAATATGGTCTGGGTCGACCGCGGTTGAAGCTCGGTCGAGTTTCCTTTCATAAACTGCCCCATTTCCGTGAGCGGGGTCTATTACCACCGAAACCCCCTAATTTTGATAATACTAGCAGTTATTTACTTCCAAAAACTATTCACATGAAAGAAACTTTGACATTCTGAGGCATTAGCGTGACGAGTCAGTTTCTGAAGAGATGCTTTACCTTAATATGTATGTTATGTTCTAATGATTGAAAGATGAGCACATGTAGAGAAATTGTCTTCCACAATTAAGAGGTTTTGCATGTACATGAAAAGAAATTGTCTTCGGTAACCATGCAAAAACCTTTAAAATCATATAAACATTCAGCTAAACTAAAGAGTAATAAGCAGATTAACGGCAAGCGTGTACCTTTTATCAGGTAGTTAACAAAAGCTGTCCTCGTGTTATAAGTGAACGTATCTGTAACGTGCGACCACCGCTGAGATGAATTAGTCTACGTAATGTTATATTGCATGAGGTCAACTACATTTAGGCAATGCTTATCAGAGTCCATCCAACCAAGATCAACTTAATTTTTATTAAACATAAACCGTTCGACATTCTTTGTTAAAGTTTCAGCGGAAACTGACCCTAACCCTAACCCTAACCCTAACCCACTTAATCATAATTCGCGAATATTTTCTCGTTCCAGTAAAGCTTACTAACAAACGAAAGAGAAATTGAACATGACATTAAAAGAGAGCGAAGAGATCATCCTCACAGTCTTGTACGCCATCACAATGCTCGTAACATTTGCAGGGAATGGTTTCCTCATCTACATCGTCTGGAAGAAACCTGAAGTAAGATCACTAACAAGCTTCATGTTCGTCAACATTGCTGGTGGCATTGATTGTGATGCCCTGGTCGATTGCCCATATCTATACAGTCGGATTCTTGATGATACCAGGTGTATGTTGATTTGCTTGCTCTCTGCTTCTGCAACCCAGAAAGAGCGGCGTTAACCTGCGCTAAAATAAAGTTAGCTTTTATGGTTTTCCGTTTCAGAGGCCTACGTCCCAAATTTTGATATTACAGATACCGCAGTAATTCCTTAACCCGATACAAATGCTACTCTATCATGTAGTACGCGGTGAACATGCCCAAGCTGAGTTCTACAATTAACATGCTGTTTTAACATATACCTAGAAAAGTGAATTATTTCGTGCAGGTAAAAAGCTGAGTATGAGCGTAAAATGGGCTTTTTTTCGAATTTTGTTTCACTACTCGATCAGCCCTACGAATATAAGACCGAAACGTAGCGTTGAAAACGCACTCATACAGATGCGCAGAATTGAATAAAATGACTGAATATCTAGTTTCCGACAGAAAATTGTGTAGGCTGGCATATGCATAAGACTCGCATATGACCTAAAAAATACTCGGAGAAATCTTTACAGTACTAAGTTATTCAATAAAACGCAACACGACTGCTTACGAAAAGAAATTTAAGCTCGAGGAGTCCTGCAACTAGACAAGACATTAACAAAAGCAGGAACTACTATTTAACTAGAGCCAAAACTTCCGGTTAACCGCGCTGTTTAGTGTCAACCATGAAGAATTCCTTGAAGCCGAAGTTAAAGAAAATGCGGAATAAGGAAATATTTCACTTGGTTTTTTTCCCTTTGCTATAAATTCGTGTGTGTAAACTGACTAACCATTGCGATGGAAAACAATAATTCTTGCTACTTTTTTAATAATACTGCGACAGGACTTTCTCTGAAACTTCAAAGAGCTTTCAGGATACAAACCTTGCTGATGTGAAGAATTTTATTTTTTCAAATAATAAAAATTATTATAACCAAAACGCAAGAACAGTATGATCAAAGTAAGAAACGATGTCATTTCAAGCTACCGAGAACATTCCCTCTATACTCCAATAAAAATACCCATTCCTTCAGTGCAGTCGTTAGTGCCGTTTGATTAACCTGTCTCATCAACCGATGTTTTCTTCATAAACTAGAAGTCACCGAGGAGTAAATTAATTTCGGTCATCTGTTGGAAAAAAACATCGATCAGGAAAAGCCTGCCATAACAAGAAGATATGATCATCTATCGAACGCCAATCTTTCCTACCATAATATCGGTTTCAATCCTAGCATTTCCCTGAAAATAAACATTGCTTTTCACGCTTTCGATCTCGACATGAGTTTAGCGGGAAAGGGAGCCTGCCAGACCCACAAAATATTTATTATGTAATTTTAATTAATCTGTCAAACATATAGTGGGGCAGCATTGTCATTAACCTTCAATATTATCTCAGGGTAACGTTTGTTTGAGAGTGATAAAGAAAAGCTTAACGGTGAGTTTGTCATAAAAGTAATCGTGAGTGTGCCACTGTGCTTCCTTTGTTTTTTTATGAAGGCTTAAAAAGAGTCGCACAATGAACGGAAATGAAAACGCTGTGCAAAGTGCTCCTGCAATCAGTAAGGCGAGTTGTGCTGCAGTTGCGTGGCTATATTCTTGTTTTACGTTTAAGCTCCAGAGTTCGCCAAGCATAGGTAATGTTTTCATTTAATAGGGATCCTCAATACTCGAAATTTACGATCGTAGCAACGCATTGAGGAAGGGAATTTATGAGATCGTTAATCCTTTTGGTGCGTAAAATGTTACCTAAAACATAGTATCAAGCATTATTGAATCTAAATTCACATTATGAATAATCATTATTATTATTATTATTATTATTATTATTATTGCAATTAGACGTACTTGCTTTTTGTCTATACATTGCATTAATTATCTCTTCTGAAGTGTGTCAATTAGCTGCTTAATGTTTGTTTGGAAAATGATAGTACGACGTTTCGATGAAATCACAAGAAAGCTATTTTAAAAAATATATTACCTCCATTCCAGAAAATTTTTTGGTCGTCCTCCTGTTCCTGTGACCATGAGGAAAATAAGTCGAAGTGATGTTAATTTGAATGGAGAGCACCTGCAATGTAAATTCTACAAATTTGAGGAACGCAAAAAGCTCAATTTTGGACTTAAGCTTACATTTCCGCCTCTAGAGGAGATATTTCATATTTGTTTGACCCAAGTTTGTGACTCAAAATGACCAGAAGAATTATCGAAAAAGTAAAAATTAGGTTTTACTCGTTCAATCGGGCTGTTTAAAACTTTGAAACCTTTGATGTATTAACTACCATTTCGAACACTTCCAAATATATTTATTTTTCTAGGGACAGACAAAAAGCACAATAAACAACTCAAACTGAAACTTTATTTTAAAAGTTGTGCCATATGAAGTGTGTTATTTTACGTTGTTTGTTTAATATCGCGTTCGTGCGTACATGTATGTGTGCGCTAACTTCCCGTAGTAACAAGATCAACGGAAATGTGTAAACTAAAACGCCATCGCTAGCTTGTTTAATGCCATTATCTGCGTCCGAAAAGAAGTTTCATATGTCATATTTGAACGATAAATTAGGAATATATCCCATTTCAGTAAGTCAGGTGTTACAGCCAAAAACACCACGTCTGCATCTAACCACACACATTTCATAACTACACCACCCTTGCTGTGAGGCCAATTGAACCACCAATAGGATTTCATGGGTTGAAATTTTCCTATTTTTAACACAGCAAATAGGACTAACTACTGTTCTTAGTAAGGTTCTTTGAATATTTAGAGCGGAATAAGTTCATGCCCTCTGTTCGTGCTCAGACTTATTAAGTCTTAGGTGGCCTTTTTTTTGGAGTATTAAAACATAAAAAACGAAAGTATTGAATTCCCGTTTAGCCACCAGGTGATTTGTGGATATAAAAAATACATTTGAAAGATGAATGTCCTTGACTAAAATGGTTATTTTATGGACTGATCAAGTTTTAGCTCAGTTGCATCCATAAGGAAGCCGAGCTAATTCTCAAAACGTCGGTTTTAAGCACCAAGCCTGTCCTACGGACTTTCTTCCTAATTCCTTGAGGTAAATAGTAATTGGGTAATAGTAAAAGGTAATGTGTCATACCTTAGATCACACTAAAACAACTCTTGTATCAGTGTTTTTAAAGTGTATTTTTTCTTTCCTTTCTCAAAATTTAGTTCTGAGAGGCCCCAAGTCAATACGCTGGCAGCATTTTTCATTTCACTCAATTACTGGTAAAAAATACTGTCGTGTGGCGTTCAATTCTTGTCAGTTTCTGATAAGTTAGAAGGTAGAAACCTAGGCCCAAAGATGAAGCAGCACTTAAGCATCACCGACAACTTAATTCTTAGATTCATTGCTAATCACGAGGATTTTTTATCATGAGAACCCAAACTTGCCTGCTAATCTGAACGTAGTGAACGTTCACATCTCCAATCACGTTGCTTTAATAAGAGTTACATAAATTCTGATGAAATCTATATTTTTAGGTGTTTTTTCCGTGGGAGGTCTGGTCGCAATCGATTCCTTCTCTCCATCCCTGTTCACCATTATTCGCCGAGGCCTAAGCAATTTTAAGGTTTCCTGATGTTGGGCCTTCTCTTACCGATCATGAAAAAATATATGTATATTTCTATTGAATTAAATTTAAGGAATCGCGAAAGTTCCATTTGCTCACAATTCATATACAATTTCCTCATTTCATTAAAGCTTAACAACAGACCGAACAGAAATTGAACATGACATTAAAAGAGTACGAAGTGATCATCCTCACAGTCTTGTACGCCATCACAATGCTCGTAGCATTTGCAGGAAATGGTTTCCTCATCTACATCGTGTGGAAGAAACCTGAAGTAAGATCACTAACAAGCTTCATGTTCGTCAACATGGCCATCGCCGATTTGCTGGTGGCATTGATTGTGATGCCGTGGTCGATTGCCCACATCTATACAAACGGATTGTGGATGATACCAGGCCTATTTGGAGAAGTCATGTGCAAAGGTATAGTATACACTGCCTACGTCACGTTAACAGCGTCCATCCTCTGCCTGACATTCGTGGCCATCGATAGGTACTATGCCATTGTTCATCCCCTCCGTCGCTATCTTTGGTTCCGAAAGCCTAAACTGACTGTACCATTTATTTGGATCTTTTCGCTGGCTTCGATGTCCATTTTTCCAGCTATTCAAACCGTGGAGGGAACTAATAAACGTCCCCTGTGCTCGATATCCGTTTATATTTTGGGCGATCCACAGAAGGCTATGCGAGGCATATTCCTTTACTTCGTGGTGCTCAACTATCTGATCCCTTTAAGTGTAATTGCGTTTCTCTATGCTATTACCGCATGGAGGTTATGGTTCCATGTTGCACCTGGAAATCACCATATGACGGGAAATCGAGAGCAACAAGAAACGACCAAGAAGAGAGTGGTTCGAATGCTCATTATTGTCACCTGTGCCTTTTCTCTTTGCTGGCTCCCAGCACACGTGGTCCACATGATTTATGTCATGCATAGCTGGAATATTGATGTTCAGCTTCAGAAGATTGTCGAAAGCGGGTGTTTCTGGTTGGGCCACGCCAACAGCGCCATCAACCCATGGCTGTACATTTTCCTTAGCAGCAAGATCAGTACGGTATTTATAAAAATGGTGAGTAGAAAAAGCACCCAGTCACCTTCGAGTGTCAGTGTCAAAACATCAAATGCCCCTCTACAACCCGAAGAAGAAGCTTTCCAGGAAGAAACAAGACTGTAATCTCAATCATTTATTTATTACTCATTGGACTGTCCTAAGATAAAGGAAATATTGAGAAGGATATATAAGTTTTAAACTTGTAGGATCAATAGAAGTAAATAAAAAATCGAAGCGCTTGTTGTAGTAGAAGCAGTAGCTACATGTAGCAGGATGTCAGAAGGTGAATAATATAACTGAGATTGTTAAATGAGACTATTCAAACAGTATTAATTAGAAGCGAGCAGCTGGCTGCTCCGAACTATGTAACCTCGGCCTCTTTTCATGCACTGATAAGAGCACAGTAGAAAACCATGAATGTTTAGGGCAGAGTTGCATGTGAGAAAGAAATAACGTGCATCGAACAAGTTTTTTCGCAGTACCCGGTGAAACCGAATTAAACTCTTTTCTTGGTCACCATAGGTGGTGACTGGTTCATAGTGTTGATGGGAATCCTAAGAAAAAGACCAAGACAATCGAACTACTTACACGAATTACAAATTTAACACTAACTTGTAGATGTATTAGGACGCAGGCTACAGAAACATCAAAACAAAGGTTTCCTGATCAGCTAATATCTGCTGATAGAATTAGAACATGTGGCGAGTTTGGGTATTCCAAAAGCGATCATTGCAACAATTGAATCCAGAGTCGATTGAGATCGTTAGTTTAGATGCGTGAGCAAGCTGATTATCTTGTTTTGGACTCCTATGGATAAGTGTTGTTTTTTTTCATGCCTCAGGTAGCGCCAATGTATCTGCATGCATCGTATTTTCGCGATCGTCATTTTTTTCTAATTTTTGTCTGTATAACTGTCTTTATAGAATTGCTACGGCAGGCTTACGTTTGTAGTTATGGAAAATAAAGGAAAATGAATGATGACAAGGAGAACGTCGCCTGATGATAACTGATGATAATTGTACTGTTTCTCTTGCTGTCGCAAACCAGTATTTAATTGTTGTTTCTTGTACTTTCAATGTCGTGCAGGGGCACGACAGACAAATTTAGTTAAAAAACAACCATAGTAATTCGGAAGATGCGGCTATATTATGCCAATTATTGGTCTTCGACGTCCAATATAGATTTCATGTATCTAAACTGTGAGGGAGAGGAGGTGGCAGGCAAAGGGAAACAACTATTTGACTGGAAAGAATTTTTAAAATGCCTGTAACATTATTTGTTTATTTTGTTTGTTGTTTTTTTTGTTTTTCCTTAATCAAGACCCGGTGCAATAGACATGTGAGGTAAGTGTGAGGTAAGACAGTTCGTGGAGACCTTTCTTCGATTAAGCTTTCGTTCTTGTCCAGTACCTTTTCAAAGGCACAAAAATACGCTTGGAAATATCCAGAAAACTTTGTCTTCGAGATGGTAGGCGTCAACATTCTAAGAAATGAAAACCATGGGTTCATCTTCGGACGATTCAGTTCTCACCCACGCTATTTGAACGGTACTTGAAGATAAATAAATGGAAAGTTTTTTCGCGCCAAGCGATACAAGCCAAGTTACCGGGCGGTAGTATACCTGGCCTTTACCTTATTATTAAAAATTTGTCTGTTTTGTGTCTATCATTAAGCTGTCACGAACAGCCGTGGTTGATAGGATTTCTTTTCAAAGCGTTCGTGCAAAAGCAAGATTCACAACCATATAGAGTCGATCCACTTGTTATAAAACCTTATAGCGCCGATAAAGAAGCTTATGTAAGTGTGCAAGTGGCACATTTTGACTCAATCAGCTCCAAAAAACAGCGTATCACTTATGTCCGCCGACGTCTACTTTCTCTCTGATTCGAAAAACTGCTTTTGCTGTTTTTACTATGGAAAAAAGACAGCAACCATAACATCTGTCATTTGTTATCAACCACAACAACTGTTCCTGTTATCAATTATTCACGCAGGTCCTGACTTACGCGCCGCTAAATATATATAGTGCCATCGGTCGACCATTTATTTTCATTTTAATCGTTTTTATTTATGGACAGAACAAGTATTTCAAAGTCGAAAGAAAAAATAGATGAGAAAAGCTTCTGTTATGTAATTTCTATGCTGGGAGAGGAAATTATAATCAAAGTTCTGGCGCCCTCTGTATTCCAGGCTTTTATGGAGATAATTGCGTTTTGTTTGTGCAATGCAATATTTCTTGTCATAATAAATTACCCTTTACACAGTCGGTTGATCAGTGGCTGACAGCTGTCCAACTCGATAAAGTAAAATAACAACGTGTTAGATTATGTTCTTAGCTTCGTTCCCTTTTTTTTCCCAACATTGTTCTTTCGTGGTTTTCCAATGATGTATTTAGTTTTTCCGCGTAAAACTACATTTTTGAAGTCAAAGTTCAAGTAAAAAACGTCTTAATAAAAGCTTCCTTTATCGCTCATGCTTATTGCTCTAACGACCGCGTTCGAATAGCACTTACTATAAAATGGTGCTCAGGCCCTTTTACCGTGTTGTCATCCGCCATTTTATATTGTAATGCGGATAACTGTAACTTTGCTCTTATGTCCTCTTATCGTAAATATGTCCTCTGACGTAATGTGATACAGTGGCCAATCATACATATTGTTGTTATAACCTGAACTTGGGAGAACAATTTGCTGCGTGAATAACAAAGTGACTTTCGACCAAAGGATGCGTTATTGTTCACGTTTTATTTGCAGTCGTCATTGCTCGATTTACCACTCCGATGACAACATTTAAGCCACAAGCTAAGACAAAGGCACAATTTAGAGTCATATCACGATTGTTTATTTTCCTTAATAGTTGAAGATCATAGATTATGGTTCGTCGACATAAAATTATGTATTTTTGACACTTCACCTGATCTGCCGGAAGTGTGATCGACTGAGAAGTCAAAGTTGTGATTATTTGTCTGCGTCACAAAGTCTTCCTTCAATCACAGACGTTTGGCCTTCAGTTGTTTATTTTGAATACTGTAGGTTTTTGCCGTATCGCACTGAGCCTTCCGCTAAAAAAATTGAAGTAGTCGACTGTGATTTTATTGTGGTTCCGCTGATTTTAACTGGTTTATCTTTTTTTAATACTGTTTCTAAATTATTGTAGGATTTATTAACTTGTGGATTTGTCATAATTTACCCTGTTTATGACAAATTCACACAATAATTAAATCGAAAATGGGGGTAAAGGTGGCCATGGCAAGTCAGTAGGATAGAATCCACCTAAAGGATGAATTTCACAGAATTTACCCCGTTTTTCTAAAATTCGCTGATCAAATGGAAAATCGGGTTAAAGATGGCATATGTGGTAGTTAAAAAAAAAGAACTCCTTCAGTTGTACTTGAACATGCAACACTTCTATGGAAATAAACATCTTCAGTACAAATAATTCAATTTTTTAAAATTTTACTGCTCTGGAAATGCACTGGATGTGAAACTCTGGAACTTAACAATTCCAAATTTAAAATTGCAAAAAGTCTTTCTCCTCAAGTTGCCTCCATTTCTAGTCTCTCCACATTTCATAATGATGCTGTTCTGTGATGCTCAACAAGACCTATCCATCACTCTCAACTTGCTCTAAGATTTGGTCCAAAATTCCAAGGCTCTATCCCACTTGTAATGAAAAATTCTTTCTCTCGACTTCCCCTTCCTTACCTGCCTCCAGTAATGAAACTCTACCATTTCTTCTGTTGTCATCACTTTATGGTAACACCCTCTTGGAACATTGATCCCCTTCTCCTTCCTTAATTTGAAAAGATATTGCTCAGTGATGGCGTTATGGCCTTGGAATACCTTCCTTCCTTCTTTCGAATAGAGAATCTGTAGGTTGGAATCTGTGAGGAAAATCAGTCTCCATTAGGAAAGAAACTTTAATGACACTCAGCTCATGAAAGACTGTCTTTACCAAATTAGTATTAAAATGCACATTTGGCCTACTTTCATTGGGTTAGTTGGACTTTTTTGCTAATGAAGTACCACTAACCAAGTATTAGTATGTTAATGATAATATGCTATGAATTAACTCAAGGGACAATGAAAACAACCTCATCCTTCTGTTAACCCAACAGACAAATTTAGCAATCTAAGAAGGAACATCAATCATTAGAAGTATTTAAAATAATTTAAATTAAAATTTATTGCAGACATAAGGCAATAAAAAACATCCAAAACTGGTCATCAAAGGACACATAACACAAAAGTAATAATAAAACAAAAATAATTATAATTGTAATAATAATGATAATAATATAATAATAATATAATAACACACATGTCACGATACGGTACGGTCACGTTTTCTCGGAGGCAAAGATAATTTCTTAAAATGTTTAAAGCAGCTTTTTTTTGGAATTGTTTATAGCCAAAAGTTTCCGATTATCGCCAGCATTATTATCTATAAGAATGACTGACCGAAGAAAATTATCTGGTCTTCTAAGCTGCAAACGAGAGGCCGTGGCTATGACACTATTGGAACAACCACCGCTGGATGGTAATGGGAGGAAAAAAGGCTATATCAGAATTATGAGTGAGCTCTGGGATGCGAAAGGATATGGAGATCTCGGACTCTCAAGCCAGAACTTACGAGATCAAGCAGCTAGACTTGAGAAAACGCTAGAGGAGAGCTCAGAAAACCTATCGTGGGAGGCACAGACGGATGCAAATTCAAGAGTTCTCGCTCAAAGAATCGTGTCTACGGATGCACAAATCGGAGCAAACTCGACAGGCTTTACTTCTTTTCCCATAAATACAGATTTCTCTATTCTTGAAGAAACAGGGAGTGAATCACAATATGCTAATCTGTTAGCCTCATCAAACCAAGATTTACATATAGCTAGTACTCCTCAAATCCCAGGAGACGTAGAGCAGAAAGAGCAAGGTGAAAACCATTTAAACAGCCCGGGATGCCTTCCAGAGTATAATACCATTTACAAGCCATCTATGATCAACTGGGGGAAACGAAGCGATGGTAATGCAATTGTTATATCGACGTCAGTCATAACAGATGCTTACAACGAGATCGCAACCTGGAGAAAAAACGTATTTCTTGTACCGTATGGGAAAGCAGGACGGGATTTTATTGATCAAGTGACTTTGCATATTAATGACTGGAATAGTGGTTCCGACAATCAGCACATATCTCTGAAAGCAGCTTTTGTGCTTCTCGCTGTAGGGCTCCAAAAGCCAAGCCCAAAGTCTAAGGCAAAAGATCATCAAGATGTCTTGTCTAAGCGCCTAATACTTTGGAGGCAAGGTGAAATTAATAAGTTATTACGCGAAGGTAGAATTATTCAAGGTCGTATCGGAAAACTAAAGGCGTCGGAACCGCCCGATAGATCTAAGGTTTTTGCTAAGCTTGTACTGGAAGGCCAAATCAACTCAGCACTGCGTTTCCTGAGTGAAACAACTAGTAGTGGTGTGCTGTCTTTAACAGATGAGGTCATGTCGCAGTTAAAACAGAAACATCCCAATCCACAATCAGCCAAATTAGGTTCACTGCTTTTCGGGCCAATTGATGACCAGTATCCGGAATCCGGGTATACAGAGGTTAACGGTGAGATGGTCAGGCAAGCTGCCATGTGAAGAGTGCCATGTGACATTAAGAATGTTGATATCGACGTCGAAGTGTTGAAGGAGCCATTAAATCGGACTATTGATGTGTTTCCTTACTTCATATATATCTTTTTATTTCATTATTATTATTATTATTATTTTTAGCAGGACTTTTAGGACGCGAGATTTTTATTTAGAGAAAAGATATTGAATATTGCATTTTATTTATTACTACTATTTAATGTTTTTATCGTTGTTGGCAGATTTTAAAGAGGAATTAGTGAAAAGATGTTAAATATTGGTAGTGATTGCTAATAGTAATAGTAATAATAATTAGTAGAGAAACATTTTCGTGGATTATAGTTCAAGAGATATTGAGACATTATGAATTTTTCTTTTCTTTCTAACAGATGTAAAGGTACAAATTTAATTCTTTTTAAGTGAAGCACTGTACATAGGTCTTTTTATAATATAATAATAATAATAATAATAATAATATTTCCCTAAACTACGTGGCATGTTACAAGAATATCTCTGCATAGTATAAAATAATGATAATAATAATGGTATTCCCCTAAACTACTTAGCATGTAACAAGAACATCTCTCCATAGTTTAAAATAATAATAACAATTATAATAATAAGAGTAACAATAATAATAATAAAGTAAGAGAAAACCTAAACAGAGGAAAACTATCAATCACTCACAAATTCTGCATAACCTATAAGAAGCATCTTTGGGAGGCTTGAGGAGCTCAAACAGCACAAAATCTTCATCATCTGGTTCACTGGCTGTAAAAAAGCACAACAATGCTTTCTTTAGCAAATAACAAAAAACAAACAAGGTTTATAGAGATGAATAATTACGGAACAATATAGCAAAAAAAACATATTACAAAAACAAAGAGACAAAGAGTGAAAATGGTAAACATATTAATTACCTTGAATTTTGTTTTCATTTGAGAACTCTGTGTCTTTGTCCAATAGTTGAATGTCTAATGGAGGAAGAGGAGGGGGGAAAACAAATGGATCATCTTCCACATCTTCACAATCCTCCTCAAAATCCCCTAATTCATACTTACAGGAAAAGCAACACCAAAACCAGTAGAAACCTCTTCCATGGTTTTTTTCAGGACTAAATGGACTCATTCCTGTTCTGCATTTCTTGATTCCATCTTCACCTATTCTTGCACTGCTTTCTTCACCAGCACAATGCATAAAACAGTATCTGCCAGTTTTTCATAAACATATTTCTGGTATCCATACTGTCCTCTATACATTTCCAGAACTGTTAACAAGGAGAATTTGTTTAAAAATCAAGAGCTTTATAAGTTGTTGGTCATTTCCTTGATTCATGTGGGATGTGGGGTGATATCAGGGGTGATATTGTAAGGAGAATTCAGAGGCTGGCCACTCTTAGGGATTAAGATTTTTTCTTTCATTAATGTATTGCAAACTGTACATAACTGGTGAAACAGATCCCATTTAATGGTTCAGAGATGACCTTTCTACAAGTAACTGGAGTTGAGGCAATGTAAGATATTATTGCATGCTCAGTGTATTGTGGCATGATGGTATTCAAAAGTTTCCTGTTTCTGAATTCCAGCAGTGGATAACTCTTGTATTCCAGCACTGTTATTTTCTAGCCCCGCAGCATTTCTCAGTTTCTCAGCAGGAGGTAACTGTTGTATTCCAGTACTGTTAATTTCCAGCCCCACACAGCTGTTCTGAGATTGCCAGCTGGGAATAAATATTTTTTTCCAGTACTTACTTGTATTTTCCAGCTCCTACAAGCTGTTCTGTTTTTTTTGTTTTCCAGCTGGAGGTAACTGTTATTTCTAAGCACAATTATTTTCTAGCCTCTCTAGGCCGATCAGAGTTTTCCTGCTCAAGTTAACCGTAATTTTCCATAAAACAGAATAATGTACATAAGGACCCAGTCATGAAGTGAAGAAACCTTCCTTGGAAGCCTTGGAAACAAGACAATAAGTATAGTATAGTATAGTATAATCTTTATTTAAGCACGAAACAATTCATCAGCAATTACATTAACTAAAACTATTTAAAAATTAAAACACTAACTAATAACTAAAACTGTTTTCCGTGAATGCTGTGCGTTATAGAATGGCATTGATCTTGCGTTTAAATAACCCCAGAGACTCTGTGTTCCTTATATCACATGGAAGACTATTCCATAATGTGGCTCCACTATAGCTTAAGCTTTTTCGATAATAGTTAGTGCGAGGTAGAGGAACATTGAGTTTATTTTCAGAGTCCCTGAGGTCATAAGCAGAGTTACGCCATCTAAACTTAGAATTAAGATATTCAGGAGCTAGCCCGTGCAGACATTTGAAAACCATGGTAACTCTATGAATTTCCTGCTGGCTTGTCAGATTTTTCCAACTTAAAAATTCAAGTAGCTTAGTTGCATCGGCATCATAGCTGGAAAATGTCAAAACACGGGCTGCTCTAATCTGTAATTTCTGCAGCTTATCTCGTAGCGTTATCCCACAGCTACCCCAGACAATGTCACAGTAATCAAAGTGAGGTTTTACTAAAGCTTGGTAAAGCAGATGTAAGGTCGATGCTGGGATCAGATGCCTGACTCGCTTTAGGCACCCGATACCAGAGGCAATCTTTTTGTTAATTTTTCGATGTGACTATGCCAATCGAGCCTATCGTCTATAATCACACCAAGCGATTTTGTAGAAGTAACCTGGCTCACCTGAGTGCTGTTCATTCTAATTGTTGGTGAAGCTGTGAGAGTACCCAGTCTCTGCCTTGACCCTATTAGCATGAATTCGGTTTTGTCATATTCAGTGTGAGTTTATTCGCTTGTAGCCAGTTGAAAACGTTTGTTAAGTCCTCATTCAGACAAAGCTGTATACTCTCAAGATCACCGCCCGCATATGTAAGGTGTGTGTCGTCAGCATACATCCTCGGCTCACAATTTGATAAACAATTTGGAAGATCGTTGATATATAATAAAAACAATAGTGGACCGAGGATGGTCCCCTGGGGGACGCCGCAAGTTAATGAGCAGCTGCTGGACAGCGACCAGTTCACAGAACATTTCTGTGTGCGGTTTTCCAAGTATGACTGAAACCATTTGAAAGATTTGCCATGTATACCATAATAGTTTAATTTCGATAGGAGGATCTGATGATCAACAGTGTCAAAAGCTTTTTTCAAATCTAGAAAAATGACTCCATTGATTTTCCCGTTGTCAATATTATATGTTATAATAATAATAATTATATGTTATGTTATATATTATTAATGTTTTTAATTGCTCAGATCAAAACGAAAAAATTTAATTGTTTGTTGAAAACAGTGATATATAATGTTACATAATGTTATGTAATATAAAGAGCGCTTGTCTGTAAAAATCAGACAAATTCTAAATTTCACGGCGAGGGTGAAAAATTCGATTTCTCCCTTATTTTAATATTAGATAGGCTAGACTATAACTAAAATCACTGGATATTTTTTTGGCAAAATATCTTTTTATTTCAGAGAAAAATACAAATAAAAAAATTCCGTTAAAATCGTCATTTTTAGCGGCAAATTATTGCACAATTTAGAGGGCTTCGCATTCAAAAACGAATTACAATCTCGTCTTTTTAACACTCAAACCCTCTTTTTCAACCTCATAAGACCTCACAAAACGATTTTTGTAAACACTGCGTTCCTCTTTGCGTGCAAAATAATTTAATTTCGAAAGCATACATTTCTCTTCAGTAAAAGTACTTTGAGAGTAAATTTAATTTCAGCATGTGCTAAACCTTCAATTGATTAAGCTTTGGGCGGTAGAATTACGAAAAGATGTTCTCAATATTACTGTAAAAATTTATTTGGGCAAATGATTGAGAGCGATACGAAAGCTTTTCAAAGTCCGTTAAAATGCAGTTATTTGACCTCTTGCGGTCAACATTCCAGTCGCGAGTCACACACATACTTTAATACGATTCAACCCATATGAGGCCGGAAAATGTACATGGGTACACATTTCCAAATGCTCTAACCTCATTTGGCTTAGAAGAAAGATCCAAAGACCATTTTACTATGGTTATCTTGTCGCTCGTCGTATTTATAACGTCCGATGAAACTGCCTGTCAATCTGCGAACTATCACCAACCTTCATTATAAAACGTTTGACATCTTTGTGCCCTGTGACATCTTATTCAGCGGTTCAGTTGACTGTGAGTGTTGTCCGGTTTGTGGTGCAGTAGATCTGATCGATGCTTTTAAAAGTGGCACTACACATATGTTGCAGTCAAAGTAGTTTTGTACACGGAGAGTCGTCACGCAATGCAAATCATACAATGGAAAGTTATTTTTTAGGGGGTAGGGGAAGGGGAAAGTAAAAAGACGTCACGGAAAAGAGTTTTTTTGCTGTTGTGAACATCGAAATCTCTTATAAGTAAGTCGCGGAGATCGGGCCTTTGGCTAATACTCGTTGAAAAGCTAAATTTGGTAGCTGATATAAATAGTAAGCCTAGGTAAACAAAACCTGGTTTATGATAATTACACGATGCCTATTGTTCGCTTAGAGGCGGGGCTTCAGACTTTGTTTTTCACAAATACACTAACTTACACGGTCAACTTTGTTACATAAAAAATGGAAGGTTGTTGTTCGTTCAAGTCGCTTATTGGCGGAGTTTGTGGTTACAACACTAGAGATCGAGTGCGTGAAACGGAAATCGTTCCTTTACTTTCATGTACCAAGAATATCGCAAGTCATGAGTCGGCTTTCAAATTTACCGGTCGTGAAGATGAGATCGACCTTATTTTGTGCCGAGCGCACATATGTCGGCCCCTCTGTA